TCCACTAAACCCGATCCATTATCCAATTTTCCCCAAATGCCCAAATTGAAATCCATTTTTCCCCAATTGGCAAACGCTTCCCATCTCCGTCTAAAGTGCCATCTCTGAGTCTCTCTCGCTCGACTCGTCATCTCCTTCTTTCGCTTCCAAGTTCAACGTCTCGGTATGCAACTCGATTTTTAATCTAATCAAGCAAAATTTTAATCGTTATTCTGAAATCCGGGAGCAATTATTTTGTTGTAACAATTTCTGATAAAAGAGTATACTTTTGATATCATGATTATACTTTTGATATCATGATTAAAGGTTTGATGTAAACATGAAATACCTAGGCAGATCTTTTGCCCCTTCTTGGGTATTATCTCTACCTTTAGATTCTTTACCGAATTCTTTTTTTTTTCTATTGAATTCCGAGGGGTTGGGAGAATGAGTGTTGATCATAAACTGAGAATGCAGTTTGATTCATTCTCTCCTGTTCAATGTTCATGTTTGAGATTGTGCTCGAATCAATAATAAAGTTGCAGCTCTCTTTGTCTGGTGTGCTATAGAATTCTGTATATAATCCAATTACGGAATTAATCTGCTTGATTTTTCATTTAGCTCTGTTAGTTATACTAACGAGCATGGTTTCAGTTGTGTTTCTTTTGTGTAGTTTTAATTAGTGTGTAAGTGACGCACGACTTGGCTAATTGATGGCAGAGGATTTTCTAAAAATGTGAAAAATGCCACTCTTGCTGATGCGTTTCAAATCAAAGATTGTGGAACAAGTCGTGAATGCCCAAATTGCCGCTATCGAATTGACAATAGTGATGTAAGCTGAAATTCTTGTGCCAATTTAAACTCACTTTTCTGATACTTAAGCAGTGGATATTTCTCTCGTGAAGCCAATTTTAGAGTTTAATATCTCAAATCAACTATCAAGCTTAATCCATACCTTTAAAAACAAGAATATAAATTGAGAATTGAGGAGTTATGCTAGAAGAAGATAATATAAAAACATAGTCATCTGTTCCAATAATAAAGAATATTTTTCTTCTTCAATGTCATCAATTCGTTTGTAGGTAAAAGTTTAAGCTTTATTTAACTCGGACTTTCTTTCTATTCAAATAATTAATGAATGGCTTGGGCTCCCTGCTGCTGTAAAATTTGATCCATCTGATGTAGAGATGTTAGAACATTTGGCTGCAAAAATTGGGGTAGGAAATTCGAAACCACATGTGTTCATTGATGATTTCATTCCGACTCTTGAAGGCGATGAGGGGATATGTTATACTTCAACCCTAGGTATCTCTGTCTCTCATAATACAAATGCATACATATATACATACAAGCAGATTAATGATCCAAAATGGGTTTTTGAGGATTGTGATTTATCCATATATTAATATGAACTTTGAGCTTGAGTTGGCCATATATAAAGCAGTTAATTATAAGAATTTTTTATCACTGCTTGAGCTGGCTGGACAGATAGATGCAAAGACCTTTGCTATCAAGCTCAAAGCTATGGTAATCATAAAAAACGACATCAATAAACATTAGAATTCTGAACTTTCTTATATTCTTTCATCTTAAAATCAATTCCATAATTCGATAATATTTATTTGAATATGGAGATCAATATTCCTATCATATTCATATTTGTATTAGCGTGTAATTTTGATGATCATGTTAATATTTGTAATAGCGTTTGATGTGAAATTTTTGTTTCAGGGTCAGGAGTTGTGAGTCTTGTGACAGTGGAATTCTTGAAGGTGTAACTCCGCAATTTTCATCGAAATTCTACTTGTCAAGTGAGCAATGACTTGCCTTAACTTGTTATTAAAGAAATTAAAAATGTTTGAAGCCTTGTCGGCTTATATAATTGTGGCCTGGTCGGCTTATGTGATTGATTATTAGAGGATCAATAACTATATTGAAAACTCTAACTGTGTGATGATTTGAGATATTTTGTAATTGTTTTTTAGGTTAATCATTAGGCATCAGATATAGACTTATACACCATGCCTCCTAAATATGAGTCTGGTGCTCAAAAGAGAAAAAGGAAATGAAATAAAATTTCATAAATTCAAAGTCAAGCAGGAGATATTGGCAAGTACTTTAAAAGCAACAATGTGAATACGTTGAATGAGGATGAAGTAAAGATTCAACCTACATGTGTTAATGAAGTAGATGATAAGAATGAAGAAGTGAGTCAACCTGCCTACGTTAATGTAGTAGATGATAAGGAAGAAGAGGTGATGAAACTTACATGTGTTAATGAAGTAGATGACAAGGAAGAAGAGGGTTGCTTTTCTCTAAATTTGGATGATCCCGAGAATTGAAAAATCATTGATCAGAGAATAAGGGATTACTTAGTTGAAAGGGGTCCAAAAAGAGTTGATGACATCTCGTTTTCGAAAAATTGTACAAATAGGCATTTTGATTATTCACAATATAAGCGACTGATACGAAATGGGCAAACAATTGATAGAAGATGGCTAGTATATTCAATATCTATGGACAGGATCTTTTACTTTTGTTGCAAGTTGTTTAAAACAACCAAAAATGTTACTAGAGTTGGCTAACTTGGTAACGATGGATTCAAAGATTGGCATAATTTGCATCGGTCTATTAAAAGTCATGAAGGAAATGAAGAGCATTTATGTTGCATGACTAGCTGAATTGAATTGAAAAATTGGTTTCGAACAAAAAATACAATTGATAAAAGCGTTGAATTATTGATCAATGCGGAAAGAGAACATTGGAGGCATGTATTAACAAGAATAATCGCTATTGTAAAAAGACTCGCCAAAAACACCTTGCCATTTCGAGGCGATGATGAGAGGCTAAATATTGAGAACAATGGTCTGTTTTTACAAATGGTGGAATTGGTTAGTGAATTTGATCCAATAATGAAAGAGTACCTTCGGCGGGCTAATGCAAAAGAGATTCAATACACGTATCTTGGCAAAAAAATCCAAAATGAGTTGATACAGTCGTTGGCTAATGAGGTGAAAAGTGCAATTGTCAAGAAAGTTAAACATGCAAAATATTTCGCAGTTATACTTGATTGTACTCCAGATGCAAATCATGAGGAGCAGATGTCGTTAATAGTACAATTTGTAGATGATTCGGCAAACTTACCTACAGTTTAAGAACATTGGCTTGAATTTTTGAAGGTAGATGACACAACAGGACTTGGATTTACAACCGAGTTTCAAAAGGTTTTGATCAAACTCGATCTAGATATTGATGACATTAGAGGGTAAGGGTATGATAACGGATCTAACATGAGCGGGAAGCATAAAGGTGTGCAAAGAAGAGTATATGAAATGAATCCCCGAGCTTTCTATACTCCATGTGACGCTCATAGTCTAAATCTAGCGTTATGTGATATGGTGAATTATTGTTCCAAAGCTGTATCCTTCTTTGGAGTGATACAACGCATCTACACTTTGTTTTCATCTTCTACCAAGCGATGACAAATTTTTAAAGATAATGTAAAAGGGTTGACAGTGAAGTCATTGTCACAAACACGTTGGGCATGTTGAGAGTGTGAAACCTATAATGGAGTAAACTTCACAGATAAGAGAAGCATTACTTGATTTGACAAAAACTAACGAAGATCCTAAAGTAAAGAGTGAAGCCGAGTCGTTGGCAACACATGAACTTCAGAATTTTGAGTTCTTGCTTGGCATGGTAATCTGGTACATGTTGTTGCATGCAGTCAATATTGTGAGTAAATTTCTTCAAATCGAATCCATGGATATTGATCATGCCGTAAACCTATTTCAAGGACTTGTTTCATTTCTTGAAGATTATAGAGAAATTGGATTTGCCATTGCCATGGATGAAGCGACAAAAAAGGCAAACGAAATGAGAATTGAAGCTGTATTTACAGAAAAACGCATAATTTGAAGAAAAAAGTAATTTGATAAAAACTGTAATAATGAGGTAAAACAATCAGCAGAAGAATCATTTAGAGTTGAGTACTTTGTTTTTATAATTGATCAAGCTCTATCTTCTCTGAGAACTCGATTTGAACAATTCAAATAATATGATGATATATTTGAATTTTTGTTTAATTTGAAGAAGTTAAGGAGTGCAACTTTATCTAGTTTGTTGAACTCTTATATGAATCTTGAGAAATATTTTGAACATGATGGGCTTTCGGATATCAGTGGAGATGATTTATGTTCGGAGTTACAAGTCTTGAAAATTTATTTACCAAATAAAGTAATAAGAGCAATTGAAGTGCTATACTATTTGAAGACATTGAATATTTGTTTCCGAAATGCTTATATTGCTTACAAATTTTGTTAACCGTACCGGTTACAGTTGCATCTGCGGAAAAAAGTTTCTCGAAATTGAAATTGATCAAGACCTATCTCCGATCAACTATATCACAAGAAAGATTAAATGGGTTGGCTATGTTATCAATAGAAAAAGAAATGGTTGAGCAGCTAAGTTATTCAGATTTGATTGATATTTTTGCCTCTAAAACAGTAAGACGAATAGTATTTAACTAATTATTTGAAATTTTTGGTTTGATGATTTATAATATAAATCGTTTCTATGATATATTTTGTTGTTGCTTTAATGTTAATTTTTTAAGTTAACAATGAGTCGCATAATACACATTTGAAATTTGTCGTTGGGGGGGCCTAATTTTCATCGTTCGCCTCAGGGCCCATCAAACACAGGACCGGCTCTGACGCTATATCCCATCTTCTCACCAACTTGCTGGTTTCTTTACTTCTCTCGTGATCGATTTACATTCCTATGGTCCAAGCTCAATATCCGCTTTGCTCCATTAAGCTTGGGGGAGGGTAAAGAGACTGAAGTTGATTAAGCCACGACTATATTTGAACAAATCATTTATGGGAATTATATGGACAGTAGCTATATTTCGACAGATCATTTATGGGTATTATACAAACTGGATATGAATATGGACAGAATATAATTTTGCCTCATACATTATTTCTGTAAATAGTCCTAAGCTTGATGCATAAGTACGGGAAACATGAAAATATACTGGAATTTATCATTTCCTCCAGGTCCAACCAATTTTGAGAATAGCCTCAAAAGAAAAGAAAAGAAAAGAAAAAGAAAAAAGGTGCACTAAACTACCCTGCAACTTCACATTTATCACCCCCAATCCCCGGGGACACAGAGCTCGGCAGGAACCTGTCACTGTCCAACATTAATAGAGATTCGTGCAAAAGAACTCATCAGCGGCTAGGATCATACTTTTGCAAACTCTCATGCACACATTTTCACACTCTTTTTCAGGTTCCCATCGCACATTCACATTAGTATTCTCAATCAGTCAGTCGTCGTCGCTCCCTTCAATTTATTCTTCTCATTTCAAAAGTTTCCCCAGACTTACTGCTCCACGTTCAAGAGTATTGCACTATGGAAGAGAGGCCAGAGACTGAGCTGATATCAATACCAGCGACCCCACGTACGTCCACACCAGGGATACTGACGCCGGCAGGGCTGAGGTCGCCACGGGTTGTCCCAAAAGAGGCGACCGGCGGCTCCACCAAGTCATGGACGCCGAGCTCATTCTTGAGCCCAATTGGGACTCCGGTGAAGAGGGTGCTGATAAATATGAAGGGTTACTTGGAGGAAGTGGGGCATTTGACTAAGCTTAATCCACAGGATGCTTGGCTTCCCATTACTGAGTCTCGGAATGGGAATGCGCAATATGCTGCTTTTCATAATCTCAATGCGGGTGTGGGTTTCCAGGCCTTGGTCTTGCCTGTTGCTTTCGCCTTTCTTGGGTGGTATGCATTTTTAAACTCAAAGAAAATAAGCTACTTCTAGGGTTATTATTGTTCAATCTACTTAACTGTTTAGGCTTGTTCTTGATACTGTTGCTTTTTGTTCATCTCCTAGTCTCTGCACGAAATAATATTCTTCAAATGCCTTGATTTCTTATGTCTCTACATCTATAGTAATATTCCTCCCTTAATCGAACTTGGGAAGACTGAAAAATATAGGCGGAGTTTCTTGTTTACCACAAATAGAAACAAAATCATCCATAAATCCCATAGTCTGAAAATTTTAATGGGACTGTGGGTCTGCCTGGTGACTTTTTTATCTCTCGCTCTTACTTTTTCCAACCTTATCACAGGCTTGAATTGATGGGAAGCAAGAAAAATCCTTGATCAAAGCTGTATTCT